AACATGAAGAAGCTAAATTGCTTCTCTAAGCGATGGTTACTTTGCAACCATGAACACAGCCAATCCACTGCCTAGTAATATTATTCTAATAATAATCCTTACATTTGATTGATATATCATGTCAGAAGAACGTCTCAAAGCACTTTACAGGTTTTTTTTAAAGCAATTGCAACGACTTGTGCGTTTTGTAGGCGAACGCAGCAGCCAATTTGCTTACAATAACATCACGCAAACAGCCATGAAGTGAATGATCAAATGTATTTGGGAAAATTGTTGACCAAGACAGCAGGAGAGAGAAACTCTCTTCTCTTTTCAAGTATCACTGCAGGATCTTTTAACATGCACCTGAACAGACTAACTGAGACAGGCTGACAGCTATCAGGATTTGAAACTTGTGTCAGCCCAGCTCAGTCTCAGGGTAGAATCCACTTACTTTGAGATACAATTTCCTATTTCCAGGATGACGATCCAAGACAGCACTAATTGGGGTGGTGGGGGGATGCAGATCGTTGTCAGACCTTTCCCTTTGGGTGAGGTTTTAAATCTGAGGTCCTCTTTGTCTGTTGTTCAGGGTTGATGTTAAAGAATAATCCTGCATGGTAACTGCTTGTTAGGATTTCAACATGTGCAAACTGAAGGCTGCATACATGCATTCACCTATGACCCTTGCATTTGGTAGAGCGTCTTAACAAGTCGGATGGACGTCTCAAAGCATTTCACAGGATTTACTGTGAAATGGAGTGACTGTGTATTTGTAGGCAAATGTGACAGCACAATTGCTTACAGCAAAGTCTCACAAACAGCCATGAAACAAGTGACTAATTTTTATTATAGGCTAGGACACTAGGAGAAACTCCCTTCTCTTTTTGAATAGTGCAATGGGATCTTTAAAATCCACCTGAACAGGCAGATGGGACCTTGGTTTAACATCTCATCCAAAGGCCAAGACTTACAAATAAGGACCCACAAATAAAGCAGTCACTATACATGGCATTGAGCATTGTGAGGTGAGTCTCAACCTTAATATCTCTGTGGAAACACAAGCTCTCTATTATTACATAGTATTCCCCTTCATACTCATCCAGCGTAGTGCTGGTGGGAGCACCACATTGTGGGAAGTGCCATGCTTCGGATGATACGTTAAATTGAGGCTCTGGCTGTGGCTAGTTCAGGTGGATGTGGAAAATCCCACTGGGCTATTTGAAAAGACAAGGGAATTTCTCTCTCCTGGTTTCCTGGCCGACAATTCCCCAAAATAAAACAGGTCAATTTGTGGCTGGGATGTTGCAAATTGGTTTCCCTAGAATATACAGAGTCACTACAATTTACAGCAAATGCTGTGTATTACTTTGAAACATTTTAACAATGTGATCAAATGCTGCATTAAACACACTGATTATTATTAGTATCATTATATTTTCTGGTGGAGATTCCTGAAGGAATACTAGCATTGCCTCTTTGTTGATGTGGTGTTCTGTAGCTCAGTGGTCAGAGCACTCGACTTGCAAGCGAGACACCTGGGTTCAATTCCAGGCAGAGCGAAACCTTGGGCAAGTTTCCTTACTCCACACACCTAATGATAATCCCTCCAAAAAACAAAACAATAATAAATTGGTCATTTTCAATCCACACTGTTTGTGGGACTCTGCTGTGCGCAATTGGCTGCTGCGTTTCGCCCACAAATATACAATCAATTCACTTTACAGCATATTCTGTGAAGCGCTTTGAGACGTCTAGAAGACGTGAAAAGCGCTATATCAAATGCAAGGATTATTATTATTATTATATTTTTAATCCAGAGTTGATAGCAATGCTGTTCTGGGAATACACATAGATGCTAAGCATTTTTTTATGCTTTAAAAGTATTTTCAACAAACCGTGATAGCTGAAAATTACCTAAATGAACCCAGTCATAAAAGCTGCAGGGATTTACAACACGTTTTGGATTTAGTGATGAATAATCAGAGTTATATAGAGTGATACAACACGGAAACAGGCCCAATTAATCCATGCCTGTTGTTTATACTCCACACAAGACCTCATTCTTCCTATTCCCCTTTTCTCCACCTCTCCATTCCCCTATTAAAACCTATCCCTCTCTCCTACACCCCTCTATTCCCCTTTCCTACACCCCATTGTTCCCCTTTCCTACACCCCTCTATTCCCCTCTCCTACAAGCCTCTATTCCCCTCTCCCACACCTTCTATTCCCCTCTCCTACACCCTGTACACCCCTTTCCTATACCCCTCTATTCCTTTCTTCTACACCCTCTATTCCCCTCACATATGCATCAAGTTTCCTTTTAAATATGTTGACGCTTTCTGCTTCAACCACAGCTCTTGTCAGTGAGGTCCACGCTCTCACCAGTTCTTCCTAATCTCTCTATGAGATGAGTTTATATTTACAGTCTCTAGTTATAGACTCACCATCAAGTGCAAACAGCCCATCAACGTCCACCTTATCCTTTCATAACCTTAATGCTCTCGATCAGGTCCCCTGTCAATCCTCTCAACACCAGAGAGAAAAGCTCTGACATGTCCACTCTCTCCTGATAGCTGTGTCCTCTCCTCCCTGCGAACATCCCTGTAAATCTACACTGTTCTCTCTGTATCTAACGCTACAATATCCTTCCAAATAAATCCCTGTTACAGCTATTAATTACCATTTGGGTAAAGACAAACTTCCCGGTGTCTGTCCTAAATTGCACTTTGTAACCTGAAACCTGTGCCCTCTTCCTTGGAACGATCTCCCAACATGAAATGCGCTATACAAATGTAATTTGTTCTTGTTGCTATCTTATTATTAATATTAATCGTCGCATAAGATGCAGTGCCTTATAATTTCTCAAAGCACTTCAAAGGAATTTAGGGTAAAAAGTCCCATGTAGTGACTATGTATCTTTTTGTGGGTGAATTCAACAACCAGTTTGTACGCAGCGATGCCCCACAAACAGCCATGAAGTGAATGACTGATTTTATCTGGGGAATTGTCAACAAGATACAGGAAAAATGAAACTCTTTTCTCTTTTCCAATCATGACATTGGATCTGTAACATCGACCTGAACAGGGCACACACAGGGCCTTGGCTTAATGTCTCAGCTCAAGGACGATACGTCTGACAATTCAGAGCTCACTTTCACCCCAGAATACACTGGGTAAGGTGGTCCTAGCTGGACAAGCAGAGGGAAGTTTGCTGGACAATACTCCCAGTGGTAACCTATGTGGTTTTGGCTGTTTAGACTCCAGCAGTTACCCCGACGCACTCTCTGGGGTCCCAAGCCTTAGCTCTTGCCAACCTGCACCTAATACTCTCTGGAATTAGGTAATCAGGGCACGTTCCAGCATGAATTGGAGCCTGGAATGTTAGTTCAAAGTCCTGATATGGGGCTTGGATGGGCACCTGAGCTGGGGATGGGAGCTTGAAGACTTAGTTGAGGAAGGGCAGGAGGAGGCTCATGTGGAGCATAAACACCGGCATAGACCAGTTAGGCCGAATGGCCTGTTTCTGTGCTGTATATTCTAATGTATTCTAATGTATGTCATCTTGAAAGTTGTCCGTAAGACAAACACAAGATCTTCTGTGGTGTCTGATTAATTTCCTGTAAATACGTACAGACACACACACACACACACACAGATATATTATACATATTTTAAATACAAGGCACCCTGGCTTGGTGTCTTACAACATAAAATGCAACAATCTGGCAAGCTGTTTTTGACTTCAATACTGATCACTTCTCAGTCACTCCCCTCTATGTAAATACAAATTATTTTTGTTTCCTGTCCTTTCTCTCCTCATTACATCCCAGTGCAATGTCATTCAGTTCAGTCCCATTTATCAACCAAAAGCGAACGTTCCTTTCCAACTGTGCTTAGTTTTGCCTCTACGCCAGGACAAGATTGATGCTGAGATCTCCCAGGCTGTGGCCTGTCCTGTTATTTTCTTTCTTTCCGGATCATTACATCTCTTTGAGGATGAGTTAATGTTACTGTCAGCCTGGTTTAGCCTGTAACGCTCTCGTGTCCAAGTCAGAAACGTTGTGGGTTCAAGCTCCCAAGTTGGGGATTTTAAACTCTCAGCCCCAGGCTGTCACTCCAGTGAGTGGGTGCAATGCTGGGGGAGGGGTTGCTGCCTTGTCGGATGAGACGTTCAAACCGAGGTTCCGTCTGTGCCCTGTTCAGGAGGATGTTAAAGATCCCCAACACTATTCGAAGAACGAGATGGGGGTTTCTCTCTCCCAGTGTCCCGGCTGATACTCCCCTGATACAAAATCAGTCTTCTGCTTCAAGGCTACTTTGTATCCCACAGTAGCAAATTGGTACAAAATTTACTGTAGATCCTTTCAGACAAATTTACTGTAAGTGCTTTTAGACATCCAGCACTCCATCCCGGAGTCCCTCCGACTTGCTCCCTCCTTTGCCTCTTTCAAGATCCGTCTGAAGACCTTCGGGACTCTTTCCCCTCCCCCCACACTCCAATCTATCGGCTCCCAAACCCAGCTCAGGTGCCGAGTGACATGATGAAGACGCTCATTCACCTATAAACCACACAGTCTTTACAGAAAAATCCTATAGGGCGCTTTGAGACGTGCTCCTGACATGAAAGGCGCCGTATCAACAGCAATGATTCTTATAGTTTGATTAAAGATTGAACGTTGAAATTTTTCTGCCCAATGATTTTCTTTGCGGTAGCATAATTGAACATTTAAACCTTAAACACAGCCGAACAAGAGGGGAATAGGAAGGATGAGGTCAGCAGCGCAGTTATCAGTAATAATAATCCTTGCATTTGATACAGTGCCTTATCACGTCATTGATACATCTCACAGCGCTTCACAGAATATATTGTAAATATATTGTGAATGGACCGTCCATTGTGAATGGACCGTGTATTTTTGTCGGCGAAATATCTCTTCTGAGGGTCGACGCCTTTGGCAATGGTGCTATCAGCCGACTTGGCTGGAGCGTGTCGGCCCTGTGAGAGCTGAGATTCCAGGTTATAATATGCACTGGTGCCTCTCGGTGGCTTTGAGTGCCTCATGCATGCTGGCGGCTGACAGCCTGCGGTTGATGTTGCGGTATTGGCAGCGGAGCAGATTCCAAAAGGTAGTCCTCAGGTCCCGGTTGAAGAAGGCGTAGATGATGGGGTTGACGAGGGAGTTAGTGTAGCCCAGCCAGAGCAATGTCCTCTCCAGCCTCAGGGGCATGCAGCTGCACTCAATGCCACAGATGAAAGGACGGGCGGTGGAGAGCAGGAAGAAAGGGAGCCAGCAGAAGGTGAAGGCACCCACGATGATGCCCAACGTTCTAGCCGCCTTCTGCTCCCTCTTGAAGATAGACATGTTTCTCCTGTCGTGCCTGAGGAACCTGGATAAGGTCACACACTCCTCCGCGGCCTTCGACCGCTTCCCGGGATGCTGGGCTCGCGAGTCCTTGTCCATGCTGTAGATCCCCTCCCGCTCACAGCGCCAGGGGACACAGGCAAACTTGTGCCTCTCGGCGCTGATTTTGGCCGCCTTGTAAATCCTATGGTACATGACCAACATGACGGTCATGGGCATGTAGAAGGCCACCCCTGTGGAGTAAACGGTATAGCCGAAGTCTTGGCTGATGAGGCACACTCGCTCCACCGTGACGTTCTTGGCCCAGCCGAACAAGGGCGGCAAAGTGATAGAGGCCGAGAGCAACCAAACCATCAGCACCATTTTAGCCATCGAGCGTCCGTTCTGCCTCACCGGGTATGTCAGAGGGCGAGTTATCCCCAAATATCTGAAAAACATGACCAGACAAATATATTAATAATTGTATTAATAACTATACAAGTTTTATTATTATTAATAATATAATCATCAGTGGAACTGGGACTGTTAATAATCCTATTCCCACAACGCTTCACAAAGAGGGAGAGAGCAAGAGAGAGCAAGAGATGGGGTGGTTTCCTGGCTTAAATGGGATAATTTAATGTGTTAACACATGTACAAACACATAACACACAGATAACACACACACTTACACACAAATATACTGTAATATATATTTAGAGGATTTTATCACGTTGCCACACCCTGGAAAGGTGAGGTCAAAAGGGTGTCGTTGTTACCTTGGCACACATTAAATATTACATTAGAGAGTGGGGGAGGGAGAGAGTGTGTGTGTGTGTGTGTGTGTGAAAGACAGAGACACACACACACACACACACATACAGAGAAGATTGTTAGTGTTTGAAAGACAGAGACACATAGAGACAAGAGAGAGTGTGAGTGTGAAAAACAGACACGATTTGTGAGAATGTGTGTGAAAGATAAGACACACATACACCACAAACACAGAATGTGTGCGAGTGTGTGTGAGACAGAGAGAGACACACAGACAAGAGAGTGTATGAGAGATTCACTTTACTTAATACACTGTAATAAGAAAAGTACCATCCATTCATATGTAATGAGGCAGTTTTATTGGACTGGCTGACCATTACTGAAAACCATTTAGACACTACCTCTACAGTGTGATTTAAACTGTAATAACATAATAATAATGATAGAAACCAGTGAAGATCAAGAATTATATAAGCAGGATGCTTCCCTCCAGGGAGAGAGTGCACATTCCATTCCAACAAATCTATCTCTGGGATTTCCGTGTGTAGGTCGGATGCATGGAATTCTCAGTTTGGTTTGGATACTCTTAAGCACGGTGATGGGTTTCCACATGTGTCAAGACACCCGGTTCATTATTATAAAAGGGAATAAGAAGGAGTGACTGGACGAATGTGGGCTTGGGAGGAATGTAAACGGACTAGTTGGTCATAAATTTGCAAGTTGGATTTGAAGATAAAGATTGTGCCTCTGTAATCTGATTGCAATATCCAGAACTTACTCTGAAGTGTAGTGACTGTATTTTGTGGAGTCCTGTAGCTCAGTGGTTAGAGCACTCGCTTTGCAAGTGAGAGACCTGAGTTCAATTCCAGGCAGAGGGCGAAACCTTGGGCAAGTTTCCTTACTCCACACAGAGCCTAATAATAATCCCTCCAAAACCAAAAACAATAATAAATTGGTCATTTTCAATCTACAACTGTTTGTGGGACATTGCTGTGCGCAATTGGCTGCCGCGTTCGCCCACAAATATACAGTCAATTCACTTTACAGTGTGTTCTGTGAAGTGCTTTGGGACATCCTTCCGACGTGAAAAGCGCTATATCAAATGCAAGGATTATTATTATTATTATTATTTGTAGGCGTATGCAGCAGCCATTTTGCACACAGCAACATCCCATAAACATCCATGAAGTGATTGACCTATTTTATTTTAGGGGATTGTTGACAAGGACCCCGGGAGAAAGAAACTCCCAACCCTTTTTGAGCATCGTGGGATCTTTAACGACCACCTGAACCAGCCATAGACAGGACCTCTCGTCCAAAGGACAGCGCCTCTGGCAAAATATAGTGGCTGCGCCATTCTCCCCCCAGTCTAGCCTTCATGATCCAGAGACCAGAGTGCTACCACCTGAGCCAGGTTTACATGGGATAGAATTATATAAAATGTTACAGCACAGACGCAAGCCATTCCACCCTACAAATCCACGCAGGCGTTTATACTCCACACACCCCTCTATTCCCCGCCCCCTCAGGTGTGCATCAAGTTTCCTCATAAAAATGTTGAGGTATTCTGCTTCAACCACAGCTCTGTGAGGTCCACATTCTCACCAGCCTCTGTGTGAAGAAGTTCCTCCTAAATTCCCCATGAGATGTTACTGATGAGCTTATATTTACAGCCTCTAGTTATAGACTCACCAACAAGTGCAAACAGCCCATCAACGTCCACCTTATCAAATCCTTTCATAACCTTAAAGCCCTCGATCAGGTCCCCTATCAATCCTCTCAACTCCAGAGAGAAAAGCTCTGACTTGTTCACGCTCTCCTGATAGCTGTGTCCCCTCCTCCCTGAGGAACATCCCTGTAAATCTACACTGTCCTTCATTGCCCTTTGTAAACTGAAACCTGTGCCTTCTTGTTTGAACATCCCAATAAAGAATAATATAATAATAATCCTTGCATTTGATATAGCACCTTATCACATAGTCGAGATGTTTCAACGCACTTAACAGAATATACTGTAAAGCGACTGTATATTTTGTGGGTGAAACGCGGCAGCCATTTGCGCACTATCTCAGTTTAGTGCAGAATCATCTAGTCATATCAGAAACCGTTTCTGCACATCAAGCCCAGCTCATATCTAGCAAGGACATTAAAACAAGAGACCTGTCTGCTCATGTTGGTCAGTAACACTTTCACCTCATGGTCATTAGGGTTGTGAGTCCAAGCATCTTACCAACAACAACAAATTGCATTTATATTAGAGCCTTTCACGTCAGGAGGATGTCCCAAGGCGCTGGACAGACCAAGATTTGCACCCGAGCTGTGGGTTGAGATCAGGAGGGGTTGAGAGCAGTGAGGGTGGTGTAGAAGGGTCAGCAAAGGCACAGTCGAAGAGGAAGGTCTTGAGACATGCCTTGAAGGAGGCAAGGGAGGGAGCGAGGCGAAGGGACTGTGGGATGGAGTTCCAAAGGGTGGGAATAGAAAGGCTCAAAGCCCGACTGCTGAAAGTGAGGAGGGCAGGGTGGGGGTCCATGGAGCAGGCTGGAGCCCGCTGAGCGGAGGAAGCAGACAGGGTCGATGTGGAGTTTTCAGATCACAGAGGGAGAGAAGAGCCATGGAGGGCCTTGAAAATGAAGATGAGGACTTTGAACTATTCTGGAGGATGGGAAGCAAGTGGAGCAGGGCAAGGATGGGTTGATAGGGTCACGGATAGGTTTTATCTGACATAATGTCATGCTGAAGGGCGCATTGCATTGTCAGAGGTGCCATCCTTCAGATGAGGCATTAAAGATCACATGGCACTATTTGAAAAGAGAATATAATTTCTCCCATTGTCCTGGCTGATAATCCCCCTCCTCTTGATGAAAACGAGAGCTGTTTGTGGGACGTTGCTGTGTGCAATTGGGCTGATGGTTTTCACCTATAAAATACACAGTTACTACACTTCACAGAAAAATTCAGTAAAGTGCTTTTAGACGTTTCAATGTGATGAGGCGTGATATCAAGTGCAAGGGTAATTTTTTTCCACTCTTTACCTAAAATACAACAGCACTTGAACTTTGATATTGCCATCAAACCTTCTCAAAGCGCTTCACAGGACTTATTGTCTTGGAAGTGGAGTGCTGTAGCTCAGTGGTTAGAGCACTCGCCTTGCAAGCGAGACACCTGGGTTCAATTCTAGGCAGGGCGAAACCTTGGGCAAGTTTCCTTACTCCACACGCCTGATAATAATCCCTCAAAAAACAAAAACAATAATAAATTGGTCATTTTCAATCCACAACTGTTTGTGGGACACTGCTGTGTGCAATTGGCTGCCACGTTTCGCCCACAAATATACAGTCAATTTACTTTACAGCATATTCTGTGAAGCGCTTTAAGATGTCTAAAAGACGTGATGAGCGCTATATCAAATGCAAGGATTATTATTATTATAATTATTGTAACAGCCCACAAACAGTCATGAAGCAAGTGACCAATGTTAATCATTGTCGGCCAGGGAAAAAAGAAATTTCCTTCTTTCTTCGAATAGTGCCATGGGATTTTTCACAGCCAACTGAACAGGCACAAATGCGACTTCGGTTTTAACTTCTCATCTGAAGGATGTCACCTCCGACAAAGTGACTCTGCCCCCAGCACTGCACTGGAGTGTCACCCTAGCCTGGGAGCTCCTGGGGTTTGAACCTATATACGCAATATGACAGCGATTTTAACGCTCAGCCCTACACAGTGCAAGCTGTATGTTTGTATTCTCCTACAATGCCGTAGTGAACAACTGAACGTTTATATCAAGATCACAAATCACAAAAAAGAGGGCAATTTAGGCTGTGCGCATGGCAGAGCTGAACAACATCTAAGAGGCATTCTCAGCTGAATTGTACTTCAACCACGATTGCATTAGATGTTTTCACAGGAAATGGTCATTCAATCCACAACAGCAGCGAATTACGCACAGCAGTATCCCACAAACAGCCATAGATTGAGTGACCATTTTTTGTGCATGTATAAAAACACAAACAATTGTGGATTGAGGGGCAAATTTTTATTGAGCGATTATTAAACCGGGAAGGCGATCCGCCAATTGACTAACAACCATTTACTGCTAGGTAAACAGAGGCGTGTGGAGTAAGGAAACTTGCCTAAAGTTTCCAATTAGGAATCCTGTTAGAAAAGCTGGGAATCAGGTTATGCCGTAGGGCAGGATTCTTCCTACTTGGCTCCTGTTAACCCTGTAGGCCCAAAACCTAACAGCTGAAGTTGTCCCACCTGGACAAGCAGCGGGAAAGCTTGCCAGACAGTGAGAGTGTGTGCATTGCAATCCAGACATGGGGACATTTCCACGTGTAGGTGGCATACAATAGGTACAACTCTAAGTGTGGTTTGGATACTCTTAAGCATAATGATGAGTTTCCGTGTGTGTTAGGCACCCGGGTGACCAAAAAAATAATAGAGGTTGTGTGATAGAACGAGTGAGGTTGGAGATCAGGTTGGCAGTGAAATAAAAGCCTAGGAGATGAGTTGGGTTACAGAGATATTCAGGGAGAGGGAAACGTGTTGTTCAAGGTTATGAACAGCAAATTGTGTTGCAATTGTTGTCTGCCTGAGAGGAAACAGATGGTGAGCAAGGAGATGGTGAGTGAGGTTTCAGCAGAATTAAAGGGGACGTTCTCAAAAAAAATC